TTTTTTGGGGGGGGGGGGGGGTTCAAAATTTGGGTAATCAATATCTGCTCTTCGTTTTTTTTAATTATGGTGGTGTTTGGGCCTGTTTGCGTGCACCACTGGGTACATGCTACCAATACCAAGTAATGCTATCCACCTAAGCTTAGACAGATGGAGAGAAATTATCTAACGGCAGTTTTGCCTCTACTGGGAAGGGTGATTATTGTTTTTTGAAGATCCAAGAAGAATACTGTCAAACAATATTCTCCCTCACAAGGAGAAGCTAAGTTGGCCATGAGGAACTTCCCTAGCCTAAATTAGTTGGGGGTATAGTTTCTTCTGCAGTGTGTAAAACATATGAAAACCTTCTAGATATCAAAGACGCGGCTCGCAATTGTAATAGTTAGTGTGTCTTGAAAAAGGGAATAACAAAATGAAAGAGAGAGAAAGGGTGCCATATATTGAAACCATAGCAATCTAAATACATTGTAAATATTTTTGACTAACATCTCTTTGTTGCTATATTAATAATGCACTTACCATTTCTATAAGAAAAGAAATTGTGTCAATCTAAATAAGCAGGCTGATGCTTTTGGATTCACGTATTGTACATGTCCAAGGTTGCGTCTGATGCAATACACCACCCATTAAGGCGTCCAAACAGATTTTTCTGAAGTTTATAATGGATTCTATTCTACTTTAACGTGGTTCTTTCATTGCATTGCTGTCCTTAGTGTTTCCTGAAGCATTCTGTATTCATTTTATGTTGATTTCAGGGTTTCGTTACTGCAGTAAGTCATATGCGCTCATTTGTTCCAGCTATTTATGATGCAACAATTTGCATCCCCAAAAGTTCACCTGCACCTACAATGCTGAGACTCTTCAAGGGGCAGCCTTCTGTGGTAAATAAAACTATCCATTAAATTGGAACGTTGGTATTCTGTTTACGTATTTCCAGTCATTTATAGCATCAGAATACTGGAAAAAAGGTTCTAGGAAACTTCTAGTTGTCTAGTTCTTGCTTGTGATTGTCACCACTGGTGTGATGTGGGAGTTCCTACGGATGCCAATGGAGGGGATGGGAGGGAAAGCTTGGGAAATTATAAAAAAAAAATTGGTTTAAAAGAGGAGGGAAAAAAGAAAAAGAAAAAGAAAGAGAGTTGCTGAACATAGGAAAGCATGAGAAAAGAGAAGTTTAGAGATGATAAGAGGAATGTCAAAGCATATGTTAAAGCAAAGAACATGACAGCCCTAGTGTAAATAAGCAAACTAGATTTTTTTACTGTTTATACATAATTCTGTTTACGTCATTCCAACTGGCGAATAGATTTGTCCATGGGGGTCTTTTGAGATTTATCTCCCCTTGCATATCTGGGATAAATAGATTCTAGAATGTGATACCCTATGAGAAATCGTAAAGCTAAACTTACATGTATTTGGTCAACCATCAGTGCTCCGGTCTGGAAAAATGTTGCAATAATGAAACAATATATAAACTACGCTGAATTTAAAATCAAAAGAAATTGGAATTGTGCATATCAACTTTCATGGATGTTAATGGAGTCCACAGAATAAAGCCTTGTATCTTTGTGGCTAAAAATATAACTTGTCTTATAGTACTTAAATTTGCTGGGCTTAAAATGTATGTACCAAGAGTCTTTTTTGTCTAGTGTTTAGCTATTTATTTGCTATTGTGCAGGTGCATGTGCACCTCAAGCGGCATGAGATGAAGGATATGCCTGAAAATGATGAGGCCATTGCCCAATGGTGCAGAGATGTCTTTGTGGCCAAGGTTGTCCTTTCTTCTTGTTAAATCTCCTTACCAGAAAATTAACTGTGGAAACAATCCTCTCTCGTGCTTATTTGTGATGTCTGTGAAAAGCATTCAATCTCCTATAGATGAGTCTCTCATATTTTTGTTGTTGTCTGGTGACCTGCTCTTCCACCAGGACAAGTTATTGGATAAGCATATTGCTGAAGACACTTTCGGGGAAGAACAGCTGCAAGACATTGGCCGCCCAGTGAAATCTCTTGTGGTATGGCACTTTCCAATATTGCTGGCGAATTTGTGTATATTTTGGTTCTATTTGTATATCAAATAACTCTTTTCTCTCCTGAATATCAGGTTGTTGCATCTTGGGCATGCATTCTTATCTTAGGAACCATAAAATTTTTACAAGCAACTGCCTTATTGTCGTCATGGAAGGGTGTTGCAGTTTCAGCTGCTCTCATGGCTGTTGTTACAGTTCTTATGCAAATTTTGATCAATTTCTCCAAGTCCGAACGCTCTACAGCTGCCAAGGTTGCACCAGCAAAGGAAAAGAATGTGAATCAGCCTACAGGGAATGGGCAGGAAAAAAAGGACTAATTAAGTGATGATATGTGATTTTCATCCGAGATAGCGAATGATCCATCCCTCAATTTGTAGCCTTAATCACGAGAATTAGAAGATGATGTTTGTGTTAATATAGTTACTTGCTTGTCTATTTTATAAACGTGTAATTTTGGCCACAGTGAACGAAATTTGTGCTCGTCTTTGTATCTTTAAGATGCAGTCAATAGATTAATTGTTATTCACTCAAGTCCACAATGTTGGTAAACTGCATAGCTTTATGCTGGCATAGTAGTTGAATTGTGTCTGTTATCGGTGTCCTATCATTAACTGGGAAGTGATGAGCCACATGAATTGTATCCTTATTTTTGTTTTGTTGCTGAGTATTAGGTTTGATATTCCAAGTACCCTTTATCATCAAAGATTGTTTACCTTGAAAATTTGAAAAACTGCTACTAGACTAGATTATTACTTGTATCAGCTGGGAGTGGGTTTTGGCACCTTGAAATGCAAGATGACCTATCTTTTTAGATCGAATATACACCAACAAAGTATCCATGCCATGCTGCATGCCGATGGAGCTGAAGCTGCCAGGCCAGAAAACATAAGAGAGTAAAAGCTGTGTTGTGACATACACGGCGTGAAGATCATCTTGAATTTCCAAATGACCGCTAAGGTATCGGTAGAACCCAATAGCTTTGAGTTAGACCCTATATTTGTATTAAAGAGTTTACTTAATATGTATAAATATTCTCTCTCGAACTCAATTGTTGTTGTCATAGAATTCAGAACCCATACGCTTAAATCTTGGACAGTCCCCTGACCAGTTGAAGGTATGGATGATGAGAAAAGCTTTTCTTAGATGTGTAGTGGCATCTGTAGGTATGAAAATTTATCAAGTGCCTTTTGGAGCACTTTGGACCAGCTCAAACAATATAATGAAAATTGAATAGTGCAATTTAACTTGCCTTATTTTAACTTGTTACTAATCCCATTTATTATGGAAAATTACGTGTAATTACTTTCTTTTTAAATGATCTGACAGTCTAAAACTTCTACGCTCTCACTTTATAGAAGTTAAAATCGATGGCTAATAGTTCAAAGTTGAATTAGAGTCCCTGAAAGATGATAAGTGATACCACAAAATGGCTGTGCATCCATGAATGATCAGAAATCAGCAACAATGGGAAAAAAGAAGTGCCGGAAAGGGAGCCAAGGTTCATGAAAATTTTGAACTTTCAATAACATTCAAAAAAATCTAAATCATTACCTCTGAGATTTACCTAAGATATCTACATTTGGTTTGTAAACCAATCTGAATTTCTGATCCTGTGAAACAAAAAAGGTTCCGAAAGACAGTAACCTGAGCACGCCATTATCTACCGAGGCATGACATCAAAATTGGAACTCAGTGCTCCGTCAGCCTTCGAGTCAACTTCCATGATACACAAGTGAATACTTCTATCGAAAATCTGATGAGGGTTTTCCTCAAAGAAAATGCATGACCAACAGAAACGATCATCCTCATGCATGTCTAGCACTGTTACCATGCAGCTGAGAAGCTCTTAGACTAGGCTCTTCCTAAAGTAACATAAGATGCCGGAAATTATTCGCATCCTGTAAATTACCAAAATGCAAAACTGGAGGATAAAGGACAAACCTGCAGACCATATGAGAAACTCGGCTGCCTAAAATCCAGATGCCCCTGAATGAATGGAAGAAACATTTCATTCTCTGAATCGTAATATATAGCCAAGAATGTTAAAGTAGTAGCATAACATACTAGTCCAGGAATGCTTTGTTGAGACCCGAAAAACCCATCATGGCCAGGTGCAATTGTATTGAGTTGTCCCTGCAGCATGATTAGAATATATCTCGTTTACATGGATGTGAATCTTGTAAGAAAATCCAATTCAATAGACCAATATCACATACCAGTCCCTGCATATTCTGCTGGTTAACATAATAGCCATCATGGGGAGGTTCCATCAAATTCAACTGTATCTACCAGTGAACACGAATTAGAGATCATAACAGTAGAAATCGTCAAATTTTACCTGTAATGACTCATTCCATTTTTGCAAGAATAAAGTAACAGTCATGAATGTGATCTAGGGAAATATTGTAACCTACCAGTCCCTGCACATTCTGCTGTGTGCCATAATAGCCATTTAATGTCATTCCACCCACACTAAGATTATCCTATAATCAGCAATTTAAAATTAGTATATCACCAAAGTCTCACACGAGCGAAAATATTATTACTCCAGACAAAAAGGGCCTGTGGCAAGTGCTAATATTTTTGAAAAGGCTTAAACTACTTACTGCTAATAGAAAAAGGAGTTCTCACACACTGACAGCATTTCTTATCATGCTAAGGGGTTCCTTACTATGAACATGTAAATATGCAATAAATAATATAAATCGCTAAGAGACAAACCATCTGCTGCAAGCTATCTTGAGCTTCAACTATTGCAGCTTCTGGTTCAGTGTGCACCTGAGACACCATTATTTTAATGTGGTTATATCAGTGGAGCCAAATTATTATAACAAGTTATGCTAAAAACAATTAATGATCCTAGAACCAACCTTCCGTTTCTTGTTTGTAATTTTCTTCCTACTTGTTTTGGTAGCATGAATCCCTTGAGTATCTTGTTCAAGATCACGAAGTCCAATAGCACTGCTGCTACATTCTGTTAATGTAGAACTTCTATTGTTAACATTCACACAGTCCTTTAGAGCTTCATCTAGGACACGGAAGGCAATACCGTAACTCTCCTCAGATAAGGAACCCTCCTCACCCAGTTCAATTGCCCTTCTACATAGATCGTTGTATCTTTGCACCCTTGTTATTCTTTCGGTCCCCTCAAGCAACAACTGTCTATTCTTTGCATCTTTGGTCCACCTCTTCAAAATATATTGAGATGGGATGCTTGGAAGACCACAGATCTGAAGAACATTCATTGCATGCCTACAAAGGAAACCTTTGTATTCAAATAGAAGGCACGAACAAGAAACATCTGATTTTGCCTCATTCCACGTCACCATAAAATTTTCATTTTTCTCGCAGTCATTAACTCTAAAAGTTACAGTTTCCCCATTTTCAGCTTCCTTCTTTGGATGGCACCCAACTACACCCAACACTTCAACTTGAAATTTCCTAAATATAGCATGTGTATAAATTGTTGACATCTGCTTTTCCCAAGGTGAAGGTGATTTTAAAGCAGGATGTTTCTGCAATATCTCAAAGTCTGCTACTGCTTCCTCTTCATATCTATTTTGCAGAATCATTCCATATTGTCTCATAAACTCTTTGAGACTAATTTTCTTATGAATGTACTTGTCAAAGAAGGAGCTTATACTCTCTGATCGTTGAGCTGTTGACATTCCAGCAAAAAAACTCCCTCTCATGTAAGCTGGAACCCACTTTCTGCGCTCCTCATACAGGGTATGAATCCATTCATTCTCTTGCAGTTCAAATCTGCTGACCATCTTCCACCATCTTAAATCAAATTGTTCATCAGTTACTGACTTAAATATACATTTGCTGAATTTTTCCATGAAATTCTCATGCTGCTTTACGACATGAGCAAGAATATCCGGAATTCTTTCAAGCACATGCCAAAGCGCAAAGCAGTGACGTGAACACGGGAAAACTTCTTCAATAGCTGCTTTGAGTGACTTATCTTGATCAGTGATCATCACCTTCGGAGCCTGCCCACCGACTGCCCTAAGCCACGTCTTCATCAACCACACAAATGTTGGTTTGGTCTCATCTGCTACAAGTGCACATCCAAGCAACATAGGTTGACAATGATGGTTTACCCCAACAAAAAGAACAAACGGCATCTTCTCATTGCTTTTCGTATAGCTGGTATCAAAGAAAACCACATCACTAAAGCTGACATAGTCTTTCCTACTTTTGGCATCAATCCAGAACAAGTTCCTTAAGCGTTGATCTTCATTGAGATCAATCGCATAAAAGAAGTATGGGTTCTCTCTCTGGATATGCATGAAATACTCGAGCATAACTTGCGCATCTCCCTCTTCTAATGACAAGCACCTGCCTCTATCTAACTGGTAATTTAAATCGTTAGTTAGCAAGCCAACTTCTTGACTTCCACCACATTGTCTAGACATCTCAACATACATCTTTCTTGTTCGTTCACTAACAGCATGAAGAATATCAATGTTATTTTTCTCAGCAAGTTTAACATTCCTGTGAATACGGAAATGATAAGCCAAGGCTGGTAAAAGCTCATGATTATGATCCTTTATAAACTCATGGATATACCATTTTCCATCTCGCTTTCTCTTAACATGCATGCTTGCTTTGCAATCGGTCTTCTTGACGCTGGGACGTCTACTAGTGCCAGCATCTGATTCCGGAGTCACGCCATATCTAGAACATGCAAATTTAGCATCAATAAATTCTTTTGATTTCTTTGAGCGACGGCTATTCTTAATCGAGGTAGTGAATCCCATGGACTTGGCATATTCTTGGTAGAATGCATACGCAGCCTCGTGGGACTCAAATTCAATCCCATCACGTGGCTCCAAATCTGCATTTCCTTCTACTCCGGTAATGCTTCTCTTAGGAGAAGTGGCAACTCCACCATCCCTATTGTGACATGTGTTGTCTACGGCATCAACCATATCACCAATCACTTGAAGACTATTTTGCACGACAACTCCATGATCAACCATCTTTTGGACAACATTTCAGTTGTTTTTACTTAATCATGTGTTCTTCAAGGGCTATATCCATGAGAAATCAATCTTCTCCAACAATAGCTGGAGAGGAAAAATGTCAACTCAGTACTAAAATATTCCTTTTTTGTTGATAGGTCTGCACTGAACATTATAAAAATATGCAAAAGTTTCAGTTGTGAAGAAACTTTAACAATCAATGAAAGTTGACCTGAATCTTATTTACATTCACAAAGTTCAGCAACCAGGTTGAACCCCCAGTCTAGCACCCACTAGCAACAATGATTTTGATTTAATCCTAATACCACAATAAACAAATGAGTTCTACTTTTAACAAAAGTTTGTCAGCAATAGCATACAAAATAAGAGAATTACTTTCAGCTATACTAAAGCCAGGACATTTTGAATTCAAAATAGATATCACATGAAGTGGAGTAAAATAATAACAACAAACTGCAATATGTCATAAAATTTTCTTTAGTGGAGTCATTTCACTCAAAGGATCAGTTTGCAAGCAGCTCAGCCAAAAACAAAACATGCTGTTGGCGAATTTACAAAACCAGTAAAGAAAGCATCATGCCCATCAAAGGAAATCTGATATCCTACCACTTGCTAATTAATTATAAGAAACCGAGCTTTCTTGCAATCTCAATCTAAACAGTAATTACAAAGTAGAGAAGGGAATGGAACTGACAGTTAAACAAGTCATAAGCTAAAATTATTTAACAGGATGTCCAGCAAATGTTGCTTATACAATGTAATTCACTATGGCTGCAGTATTTCAGCTGTCCATATTCGAGACTTGAGAAACAAAACTCCTCAATGAGCTTGACCAGCATAACCCTCACTCCTGGACGCAGGACAAACTTCTTTTTTCTTAATGGTTAAATCCCACCCCAAAACCCCCTATCCAAGAGCCTAACAATGGCCATTTCCCACTTGGATTCCATTGATGACTTGAGCCCCCACCTTATGTTAGGTCCGACATTAGTTGAGGGACTAAGTTGTAGTCTCCTTATATGGTCTTTGCCAACCCATTCCTCATGAGCGCTTTTGCAGTTGAGTTAGGCTCAATGTCCATTTTTCACATGGTATTAGAGCCAGACCCATCAATCCATGTTGTGTTTCTCAATGTTGGGCCCCGTGTTACATTGAGGGGTTTAAGTCACACATTGGATGACGGAATGGGTTGTGGTCCTTATATGTTCTAGCGCAATCCATCCTCATAAGCTTTTTGGGTTGAATTAGGTGCACTGCCCGTTTCTTCACATGTCGTTACCATTATCCTACCCTTCCTTGCCTGGGGATGTAATAAACTTAGCATACCAAACTACAAACTGATAAAGAAACTCTAGCATGGAGTGCCTTCGACAAAAATACAAAACTACAACCAATATGTATATATATATATATATAAACTAGGGAACTACCAAACCAAGAACTCCAGATGCACAAATGTAAACAAAACAAGGCATAAAGGAATAAACAAAAGCGGAACAGGGAACGGCAAGAAGATTAAAAATACCTGCTTAAATATCAGAAATTACCATAGTGTCAAAAGAATCTTGGGAAAACATGATAATCTATTTTGTTAAAAAAAAAAAAAAACCTCAAATTACAAAGAGTTAAAAGCTCAAAAACAACTAATTTACTGAAGAGAAGTTGGGAAAAACAAAAGGCATAAATAAGAAAACAAAACAGAAAACAGGAAATCAATGGTGATGAATTCCACTTTATCAACTGAAAATCAACAACACGAAGAAGAAGATGACCCACTGAAACTTTTCCTGAGCGATTCACTAACCTTGCAATTGGTCGTAGAATCATATGAATGTTAGGGTTTAAGCAAAGTGAAATAAAAATCAAATTTTTGGTAAAACTGAAACTTTCTCTAACCTTTTTCCAATGTGATTGAAAAAGCTTCTGAGGCGTGATGGGAAACTGATTGCAATGAATCAGAGGAACCCCACGTCTTCGATTCTGAGCGAGTTGCAGTGCTTTGTTGTATTGTACCTTCTAAGCTCCAAGATGTTGTACATAATTAATTGAAACAACATGTGTAAATTTTAAAGAGAAAGTAATGAATGACTTCTTATTTTTTAAATATAAAATATTTTGAAACAAATTTATCTATGCGACTCCTATTTAGAACCGGGGAGTATATATTTTCTTTTATTTTCTCCAACCTTGTGGTATTAAATTCAAGATATTGAACACTGCAATTTTATGAAAGGACAAAAATCATTTAAATCCAATTAAATTTCTCTTCTAGCTTTGAGCAATAGACATCCTTTTTTCATATCTTAATTGAGTTTTATAAATATCTATGTTACCATTTAAATTATCGACCTTCATTTTACCTTCAAAATTATCAACTTCTATTTTCCTTTTTTACTTTGATAAATGATATATTTTTCTTTTTTAATCTTTGTAAACTTGCCTATTGAACAAATAAATTTCATTTTTGAAAAAATAAAAGTGAAAAATAATAATTTAGCATTTAAGTTAATAACATTGAATAATAAAACAAATGAGAAGAAAAAAACTTCTATAACAAAAATAATTTGCTCGAATAAGTAATTTAATTAATGAAAACCAAATCCAAAAAATCTATTAAAAATTGAGGGGAAAAAAAAAGGAAAGTGAGACCTTTATAATACATACACAATGCATGTAACACAAAATATATTACTAATAAAAATAGAGGTGGATGTTGTAACAAATTCTTAAAATAATTTCTATTTATACTTTAAATAAATTTTAAACTATAATTTAATAAATATTTTATTAACGATAACCAAAAATAAAAAATCTATGTACATAAGAGAGAATCAGAGAGATAGTAAAACTTAAGTAAATGCTTACTGCACATATATTAATATAATAACAAAAAAATAATGATAAATTTTATAATAAATTTAGTAAATGAATATTTTATTATTGTGATGAACTTAATTAGATAAAACACCTAGGTGTAAGATTTCATATATGATATAACAATATTTGAAAAGAATTACATAAAAGGAATATTGGAAATGTCAACGAAAAATAAATATTATGCAAAACAAAAGGAGAAGAATGTCCATTGTTTAAAGTTGAGGGTTGTAGGGAATTTATTTAACCCAAATATGTAACGATTAAAGAGAAATAAATTTTATGGTAATAGGAAGATATTCCTTTTAGGAACATCTAAAGGGTTTCTATAGTTTTAGTACAAAAAGATGTAAATACGTTTTGAAATGAATAGTAATAAAGGTGAATTCTTATAATTTATAAGAACCTTCTAAAACTTAGCGAGAAGAGAACGAGGTAATTCCGTCGTTAAATTGTTCAAATATCGTTGAATAATAAAGCAAATGAGAAGAAAAAACTCTTCTATAACAAAAAGTAATTTAATTAATGGAAACCAAAGTCAAAAAATCTATTTAAAATTGAGAACAGAAGAGAGTAAGACCTTTATAATACATACATAATGCATGTAATACAAAATATATTACTAATAAAAATAGAGGCGCATTTCTAACAACTTCTTAAAAGAATTTCTATTTATATTTTAAATGAATTTTAACTATAATTTACTAAATATTTTATTAATAACAATGAAAAATAAAAAATCTATGTACACGAGGGAGAATAAGAAAGTGAAATTTAAGTAAATGCTTAATGTAATATTAATATAATAACTATAAAAAATAGTGACAAATTTTATAACAAATTTATAAAATGAATATTTTATTTATTGTGAACTTAATTAGGTAAAACACCTAGGTACAAAATTTCATATATTATAACAATATTAGAAAAGTATTTCATAAAAGGAATATTGAAAATGTCAACGAAAAAATAAATATTATGCAGAACAGAAAGAGAAGAATGTTCGTTGTTTAAAGTTGAGGGTCGGAGGGAAATATAGTTTAAACCCAAATACGAAACGATTAAAGAGGAAAATAAATATGTAATGGTGGTAGGAATATTTCCTCTTAGGAACTTTTAAAGGGTTTCTATAGTTTTAGTACAAAAAGATGTAAATACTTTTTGAAATGAATAATATTAAAGGTGAATGCTTATAATTTATAAGAACCTTCTCAAACTTAGTGAGAAGAGAACGAGGTAATGCCCTCGTTAAATTGATCAAATATATGCTTGTCTTTTGTCTAAAATATTTAACCTTTTTGTGAAATATAAATATTGCAAATAAAGAATAACTTTTGCATGTTAAAAAGGGAAGAAAGAAAGAAAAAGGATTTTTTTTCACAAGGATAATATGAAAACTCAACCTATGATGGCTGATGCTGAGCATTTTATTGAATTTACACCTTCAAAACTAAAAAGTTATTTCACTTTCGTCCGCACTATTCCTCTCAAATGGATGTAATCCCTCCAATAAACGAATTAGTCTATGAACAAGATAGACTAATAGCTCAGACAAGTGAACAAGTCTGTAATCCCAAGTACAGTCACACTAGGTTGTTGCCCAGCAACAAATCTATGTAAACAGCACATTGGGGTGTTTGTGGTATGGTCTGGCTCGATTTTTGCGTAAAAAAATCAAACCAATTAAGCCGGTTATTTTAATATTAAAACCAAAATTGAACTAGCATAAATTATTTTAGTATCAATTTTGCAGGTTTGATTGTGTGGGAGGTATCTTAACAGATTATTTCACTCATACAAACATTGCAGATTTGTTTTCATTGTGTACTGACATTGAAGGAAAATCTAAGTTGTGTTCTCTTTTGGAAGGGCTTCCTATGATGATGAAAGAACACTCTGGATGGGAAAAGAATTGATTGACATTGATTGGCAAAATGATTTGCCAGCTACTAAGGTGGTGTTTGAGCTGCAAGATGTGGCGCATCAGCAGGTTGATCCTGCTTAGGGGGATCTGGCTGAGGCTGATTTGTAGAAGGCTGAGACAATTCTTGGGGCTTTGCTCCCGAAGCAACGAAACGAGATTGATGTTATAGGGCACATATTGAGTCGTGACTTGAAGATGCACGGGCATAACTTGACATTGCTTATGAAGAGATGTTACTACTTAAGCGATGTCGGATGATGTTTGATCTGTCGTATTAGAAGGCTGTTGCAGGGCAGGATAGGGCTAGTATTGTGCAAGCGATGATTCATAAGGCACGACGTATGGATTGACAGTTTTACAACTACGAGAATTAACAAGAAACTGCGCTCAATTTTCTTTTATCAAGGTTATGGAAGCTTGTTTGACCTCTAAAGGCTCTTCAGTTGAATTCAGACTATTGATATTTTTTGGCAACATTTATTGTTTTCGTTTGTTGATGCTTTTCGGCAGCATTTGTAGTTTTCGTTTACAATAAAGGGCAATAATTTCTTTTGATATCATACTTGAAAGTAGTGTTAATGGCATAAATATAGTAGGGATGAGATGTTAATAACCTGCAACAAATAGGTTGGGTTGGTTTAAATAAGGCATTTGAGTTCCTCTCACGTACCTGGCTTATATCAACGTTCTTGGAAAACAATCGAATTGAGGTTCAGAGGAGAATTGGCTATTCCATCTTGTGAATTAATCGAGATCAGAATTGAAAAATGAGAGGAATAATCAGTCGATGAAAGAATATTAAATCATTCTGTTTCAATAAATGTACGAGAAACTGTTAGGGACAATGAAATAGTAAAGTGATTGGATTTTGTGAGTTGTTCCAACCAGTGTTGAATGTGATTCGAGAATGAATACCACAAGAGTCAGTTCCATGCTCCCTAACAAAACATTTAATCCATGTTTACCATATACTTTGTGACATGTTATTTTCCTACCCTCTATATGTTGTACCCCTTTGAAAGGCACTTGAATTAAGGTAAGTATCTACAACTATAGAAAAATTGAAAGAAAGATGACTAAAAGTGTGTATTTGTTGCTAAAAACCCCGACTACAAGCGGGCCATTTGAAATAAGGCAAACTTGACCAAAAGGTCCATGGCGAAATCATTTTTAACCCGATAGGTGTAGGAAGGGTAATTTTATACCAAATACCATATTTCAGGGACATTTTAGGCCCTTCTCTGTATTTATAATTGGTAATTGATTAGTAGGAGCTGAGAAATTTGCACTTATTATGAGTTTATCGTATTATTCAAATTCTAAACTTGAACCACCGAACGGTGTAGTAGAATGGTTGAAATCCCTTCACCTAAGAGCTTCAATAAGGGAGCATTTTACCCTCTTTGTGAGTCTACCAGACGCAAATCCAAATTAGTTGAATCAATGAGGTTCGGATATTAATAAATGGTTAAATTGAGAAAAAGAAAAAATTCCAAACATCAAGATCAGGTAACAAGGATCATTTACGCTAAAAGCTCATACAAACTAAGTGCTAATGACGCATACAAGCTCAGGTAACAGTGTTCTATCATGATTCTATTAAACACTAAAATTTATGACCTAAGAGCTCACTTATGAAACCATGGATAAGCATCCATGAAAGCAAACGACAGAATGCAACTTATGTGCACCAAATGCCTAGAGAACAGGGCAAACTGAATATCCTGTAGAAGACGACAATAAACGTCCAAATTTCATCTATAATCTTTCCTGATAATAGAGAAATTCCTTAAATCCAGCTGGCGCATGGTTTTAAATTCAGTAAATAATTGGCCGGCCCCACCTTTCTCCACTTAAACACCAAGTTTCTTGTATGCGGCAGGGGTTGAATGTGTGACCTGCACCAACCCCCACACCACGCTCTGCGCCCTTACAACTTAACTAAAGCCCTGGGGTCATCTATAAGACGAACAACGCATGCTCCAAGTTCAGCTAGAAGGTTCAGGCCCGTCATGTAGAGCACAACATACTGTTGCTTTATGATGCCCTTGGTACACTTTGATGTCTTTGCCAGTAGATGTGGACCATAATCTTGCTGTTGTATCAGAAGATGCTGCAAAGGGTAGTGTTTTGTATGATGTCAGAGCAAATTGAAAAGCCAAATACTTCAGAGACCAACTGCTAAAACTTAAATTTGAAGTGGACAGCAGGAACCTAAAAACACCTAAGAAGCCTTTTGAGTTAGAAATTCTTTTGGCAATACAACATTGAAAAGCACAGAAGCATATCTGTCTAATCTGAAAAGGTCTTTGGGCATAACAGCAGATCTAAAGGTTTTAAATCATCAGATTCTCTATCTTCGGATGTCATACATAAAATCCAACTACTCAAATCCATTCTCGAAGAAAAACTATATTGGCAGACTATGCCAACCAATACCATGTTTATTGTTTTCAAGTTTCAAACATTGAATCAGTCCCTAGTCGCCCACGCAATTCACCCCACCCACAGAAGGAAAGAAGAAAAAAAACTTTAACCGCCATAACATTTATCTCCCCGAAAAGAAAACCTCATTCCTGTTCCTTCAATTGTGGAATGTTGATAAACAACAAACTCTCCTCAACGCCTATTTTCTACCAACAGCAAAAGTAACCAATACCTAAGAGTCCAGAAAATGACAGCCTGACACCTAAATAAATTAAAAAAGGAAAGAGAAAAATGAAAAAAAGAAGTAAAATGATTAAGAAAAATAGAAGAACCAAGGAGGAGTCAGACAATCTGAGTAGGACTGCTTTGCTCCCGAATCTCTCATTCTATAGTCAATTATTCCCTTTTCCTAAAGATACAGAAAACCTCCTAATTTGCAAAAATAAAATAAAATTGTTCATATAAATCAACAGGATTCCATGTGTCAGCCAACCGGCCCAATCCAAATGACACAAGACAGAATAAGTACTCAAATATCAGAAATATGTTCACAACAATTTCAGTATGTACCTGTGATGAGAAAAGCACCATCGACAGAGAATACACAGTCCCAAACCCAGCGTTCATGTCCTGGAAAATACACCAAAATTAACAATATTACATGTGATGAAGAATTTGAAAGAAGCTGCCAGGAAACAGGAAAGGATAAGTAAGAAGACGACTGTCAGTTATTTGGTAATTAATACCTATAAGAGTTTTCTCCAAGGTAAAGCCATCCACATTCCAAATCTTGACAGTATGATCAGAAGATGCAGTGGCCAAATACCTATAAATTACAATTTTGAAAGGAACTAAGAATTTTTAAAGCATGTTAAAATGGAAAGTATCCAAAGCAAAATAGTATTTACTGTGAAAAGTCAGCAACTAACAGATAACACACTAGAAACTTAGGGTGTGTTTGAAAACATTTTCCTTGAAAATGAGTGGTTTTATCACTTATTTTCCCATGTTTGGTTGGTGAGTGGAAAATTTTTGAAAAATATTTTCTAGTGTTTTGTTAGTGAGTAGAAAATATTTTTTTGAAAAATATATAATTAGACAAACACCATAGGGTGAGGTAGAGGGGGTGGAGGTAGGGGTGCGGGAGCCCCCCTGGGGGGGGTCTGAGTGGGGGTGGAAAATATTGAAAAAAAGTTTTGGAAAATGTTTCCATTCCTCTTGGTAGGCAAAATATTTTTCTCCAATTGGAAGAAAATGAGTTCATGAAGAAAATGTTTTCCAAAACACTTGAGCCAACCAAATATGGGAAAATAAGAAAATATTTTCCTTCATACCAAACAGAGTTTTTGACCAATATTGTCCCTTATCTTTGAGGGTAGGTCTACTTTGGTCTCTCAAATATAACCCTGAACATATTTAATCCCTTAAGTATGCTAAAGTGGAGCACCTTTAGTTTCACTGACAGAATATGTCAGAAAACTAATAGTGTTAACCAACTCTGATTCATGAAGCAAATCTTCTGCTCTTAAGCAAAATATTTCCTCTCCTTTTATTGGATAACACAAATTATCACTTTAATTCCTCATTTTTAGATAATGTCTTCTAAAATTTTGACCTTGAAAATATCCCCGTCTGTGCCAGTTTTCAATGAGAAAATTACACTGTATAGCCGCTGTAAAAATAATAGCCGAAAAAATATGTAAAATTTGTATATTATTTGGAATATATATACATTTTGTATGTTAGTATACAATAATTATACAAATTTTATATATTTTTTCGACTATTAGGTATAAATAGTTTCTGGCGCGGGCTAAAAGTGATAATGCAATTTGGTTATTCGTTTGCTTCAATAATATGCCTAGAAGTGACCTTGGCAGCTCCATTTTTTCTTCAAATTTTAACTTTTCTTTTTGGAAAAATCAACCGAAATTGTTAAAAGTAAAAGTTTCAACCTTAAAATTTTAAATTTATCAGCTCTGTACTATTAGTGGGTGTTGGTTTATAAAATATTTTCGATAAGCAAATTAAAAAGACGATGAGTGCTGAAACCAACCCCGTAATTAATCTCGGACATATTCTGTCAGTGAGACTAAAGGTGCTCCACTTTAGTATACTTAAGGGACTAAATATGCTCAGGGTTATATTTGAGGGATCAAAATAGACCTACCCTTAAAGATAAGGGACAATATTGGCCAAAAACTCTACCAAACACACCATTAGAAGAAAAACACAAAGAATTCAGGAAAAACTCTCACCTGTGAGGTTCGCATAATTCAGGCGAAAGAAGACATTTGAGGATATAACCGTCATGAGCCTGTAACTTATGCAGAGGCTCAAAGTTGGTCATTGTCTGCACATTTATGTGAAGTCAGTTTTAGTAATATTCAGTCACAGCTATAGCAAATACTTGCAGCAACAATCTAAATTCATGAGGATGTTGACACATGAGACGGGACAAAAGATGTTTGACTTTGAGTTCAATCAGACTGAACGATCTAGTTCAAAGGGAGACAAGATAGTTACAGACGGGAAGGTGAAATGTTTTACATTTATTATATTTTTAACAGAATAGAAACTAAAGAAAGTTAAAATATGCTTACTTGCGTTAATTGTCGGTCACGGAGGCTAAGAATGCGGCTTATGGTCGTATGTACGAGGGACTGGGGAAAAAGGCGGGGAGAAGAAGTTATTCCGGCTGGCCAAGTTGAGAGAGAGGATGGCTCGAGATTTGGACCAAGTGAGATGTATTAAGGACGAAGATGGTAGAGTACTGGTGGAAGATGCCCAGATTAAGAGGAGATGACAGACTTACTTTCATAAACTTCTGAATGAAAAAGGGGATCGTGATATTGTGCTAGGCGAATTGGAGCATTCCGAGAGTCACCGTGACTTCGGGCACTGCAGGCGTATCGAGGTCGAGGAGGTCGTGAGGGTTATGCATAAGATGAGTAGGGGCAGAGCGACCGGGCCAGACGAGATTCCGGTGGAATTTTGGAAGTGTGTAGGGAGAGCAGGTGTGGAGTGGTTGACTGGGTTGTTTAATGTTATTTTTAAGGCGAAGAGGATGCCGGATGAGTGGAGGTGGAGTACGGTGGTTCTATTGTATAAGAACAAAGGTGATATCCAGAGTTGTAACAATTATAGGGGTATCAAATTACTGAGCCATACCATGAAAGTATGGGAGAGGGTGGTTGAAGCGAGGGTGAGGATGACAGAGTCTGTATCCGACAACCAGTTCGGGTTTCTGCCGGGTCGTTCCACCACAGAAGCTATACACCTTGTTAGGAGGTTGGTGGAACTGTACAGAGAGAGAAAGAAAGATCTGCACATGGTGTTTATTGACCTAGAGAAAGCGTATGACAAGGTTCCTAGAGAAGTTCTCTGGAGATGCTTGGAGGCAAAAGGTATGTCGGCTCCTTATGTTATGGGGCTAAGACTCAGGTTAGGAAAGTAGGAGGGGAATCTGAGCATTTTCCGGTTGAAATGGGGTTACACCAAGGCTCTGCGCTCAGTCCGTTCTTATTCGCCCTGTGATGGATGCGATAACAAACCACATTCAATGGGAGGTGCCATGGTGCATGCTATTCGCCGATGACATAGTTCTGATTGATGAGTCACGAGCCGGTGTTAACAAGAGATTGGAGGTTTGGAGACAGACTCGAGTCTAAGGGTTTCAAGCTAAGCAGAACGAAGATGGAATACTTCGAGTGTAAGTTCAACACTGGGCCGGGGAAGAGTGAGGCTTGTCACAGGTTATCCCAAGTAAAGACAGCTTCAAGTACCTTGGTTCGGTTATCCACAGGGGAGGGGAGATCGACGAGGATGTCACACACCGCATTAAGGTAGGATGGATGAAGTGGAGGTTAGCATCTGGAGTCTTGTGTGACAAGAGAGTGCCAACGATACTCAAAGGTAAGTTCTATAAAGCGGTGGTTAGACCGGCCATGATGTATGGGGCTGAATGCTAGCCTGTTAAGAACTCACATATCCAAAAGATGAAAGTAGCAGAAATGAGGATGTTGAGGTGGATGTGCAGGCACACTAGGATGAATAAGATTAGGAACGATGATATTCGGGAGAAGGTGCACGTGGCTCCTATTGATGACAAGATGCGGGAAGCGAGGCTCAGATGGTTCGGGCATGTACAGAGGAGAAGCCCAGATGCTCCAGTAAGGAGTTGTGAGCGGCTGGTTGCGGAAGGCACGAGAAGAGGTAGAGGGCGGCCTAAGAAGTATTGGGGAGAAGTGATCAGGCAAAATATGGCGAGGCTTCAGATTTTCGAAGACATGACACTTGATAGGAAGTTGTGGAGGTCGAGTATTACGGTTGTAGGCTAGGAGGTAGTTGAGTCTTGCGTTACTTTGTACCTTTGTGAGCCTAGTCTGGTGGGGTTTTATCTAAGATAGCTAAGGGCAATGTCATGTCTTACTATTTTCTATTTTCGACGTAGGATCCATTTACTAGCCATCGTTTTTGCTTTGCATTTTTCTTCTGCATTTTATGTTCCTTTTTCCCTATGATCTTCGTGGTGAATCTAATATTCTCTCCTTTTGTCTTTTTATTATCATGAGCCGAGGGTCTTTCGGAAACAGCCTCTCTATCCCTTCGGGGTAGGGGTAAGGTCTACGTACACACTACCCTCCCCAGACCCCACTTGTGGGATTTTACTGGTTTGTTGTTGTTGCTTACTTGTGTTAATTTCTTTCTCTTTCCCTTATTCGTTTTTCTTTCCCCATTCCCTCCCCTTTTTTGGTTAAGGAGATTTGGGGTTCAGGGAAAAGATCACATGCACTCTTTTTTCCCCGATAAGCAAGATCACACGCACACTTTAGAATTGTAGAATCAGCAATTGGTTACCTCGGTGCCACGTAATAAACGCCAAACATAACATGTTCCACGATTGTTTGCAGCAACAATTAAGCTTCCATCCCACATTATAGTCAAAGATCGGACAGCTGTATCCACCTCTGGTACCTACGTTTTCAAAGATACTGATAAATACCAACTTATGTACTTCACATTAAACATGCACAGGACAAGAGATAGTGACCACTCAAGGCCATTTATTATGCTCTATGTATTGCATTTCTTGTTGAACGAAATTGATCATCAAACACCAACAGATATATCTACATGATCAATTAATGGTTAACAAGTTCACTATTTAAGTGAAATAGTTGAATCTCTAAAAAAGAGTTCCTTTCTTTTATAACGGCAATGGTCTAGCTCTCGGAATTACCTTAATATTCACTCATGAATGACTCAAACCAAAGGAGTACAAGATATATGAACTACTAAAAACTATGTACTACATACCAACTCACAGCTACATGAATTTGCCCTCAAATCCCACACACGGATATTGCCATTCTGGTCTCCAGATATCAACTCAGTCTGTAAAACATATAGAAGAACAAGATCCATGAAATACAAGAAATGGAAATACTCAAGAAAATCTCATTGAATGTGTATTCTGGTGGGGCATACAGAAATAAATTGGAAATATTCAAGTCAGAAAGATAACTTTATTTTTTCTTACTTTCATATAACAATTTTAAAGTATTAGGTCTGCTGAAATAAAGAAGTGCCTGAAAAATATGAGGGTTAGAAAAATATATGGTCATTCATGTTGTTCCGATTGAGGTTTCAAAGTATCTTCAAAGATTAGAGTAGCATGACTAATCAGGCTATTAAATTGTTATATTAAGGAGTAGAAAGATGCCAAAATTGGAGAAATAGTACCTTGGTTCCGACGGTTGTGCATACAATCATAGTATTAGATTCATGAGGTCATGCTATGAAACTTTCAGAAAATTGATAGAGCATAAATCAAGTGACATTACAAGGGTAGGTAACCAATTTGCATGTATGCCTGGTGGATTTATAATAAAAATCATATTATTGCTAAGGATGAGGTTCCATGAAGTATGCTATTTGCAAATAATACTTGTTATTTGAAGAAACTAGCAAGAGAACCAAACAAAAGTTGGAACCATAGAGAAGCACTCTAAAGGGTAAGAATTTTTTAGATAAGCAGAATGAAGACAAAACATAAGTGCTGCAAGTTTAGCCACAATGAGAAGTATGACGTGGAGCAAGGTTATCCATGATTGTAGTGCCTAAATACAAACAAATATTTGGATCGATTTTCCTAGAGGATGATATAATAAATGAAGATGTAATAGACATATTAAATAGAGGATCAATGAAATGAAGGAGTTTTACGGACCCAACAAAGTGAAAAGCAAGTTCCATAGCACAAATGTGCAACAAACAATATTATATAGAAAGGGATGTTGGACATCTAATCCCTAACATATCTACAAGTGAATATCATAGAATTGAAAAAGAAACGGCATAGATATGTTTACCAAGCCAAAAGCCAAAGGTATTAAGACGGATATAAGGTGGTACATGCTTGAGCAGGATTAGAAATGATCATATCTGACAAAGGGTGCGAGATTGCGAGTAGCACACATAAAGGATTAGATGAGAGGTCCTTTTAGATGTTCAGTCATCTTCTATGCAAACCTCCATATGCACTGGTCAGTTGGTGTGCGACTATGATGAATAAAGGTAATAAAAGAGACGAGGTACCTTTTATGCCTCGAATTACTGTGATTTAGCTATGGACTGAATACAATGGAAGAAAGCGATCATATAGGCAATAACTACTTGGGCTTAATGTTTAGTAGTTGTTGTTACACTAACATTAGGCTCGATGTACGTTATGAATCTATTATTCGGGTTAGAAACTTGTATGTCAGAAAATCCGAATAGGTGATACGAACTAAAAGATTAGTGCTTACTAGAGGATTCTTAGTATGTGAGATATATGACCATTACAGTATATTAGAGAACACCTAGCACTAGATAATACTTAAGTACCGCGTATTGAAATATTATGGATCCAAACAGAGAATTTATGATGTTGACGAATTCACACAACCGACCCCAACTAGTTTGGGATTGAGGCATAGTAGTAATTGTTGTAGAAACTTGTATGTCAGTATATATGGATAAGGGTAAATTTCGGAAACAGCTAGTTCTAGAGAACTCTAATTTGTCATAAAAGATAAATTAGTTACTATTGGATTGAACTGGACCATAATAGAGCGGAATAGATATTGACGAGTCACATAGCAGACCCAACAATATTCAGATTAAAATACAGTTGATTGATTGTTTGGCAAAGATTTCTAAGAGCTGCACTGTATATTCAAACTTAGACATGCCAAACTATAAACACTTCTTGAAACATAACAAGAGGTAATCAACAGAAGCATAGCAAAGAGACCTGTTACATACTAAATTATTAGAATATAAAGATTTAGTAGTAAAAATGTAAAATAGAATCACTATTTGTACCAATGCTATGTCTATTTTCTTTAGCACATCCTCCGTCATTTCTGATGCAACCCAGTATGAATAGCTCATTCAAACTATTTCTTTATTCAACCAAAAACTCAAAGATTTGATATAGATATCTATTCGATGAATAAAGCCAGAGAATTTTGCTAAGAAAAAACAGACAGGATAAAAGCTGACTAAAAACACTGCTCTTTTTGTGAGGTTCTCAGAGAGTTCAACATTCAGTCAAAAAGTTAATTACATACTGTGCTTAACACAATTCAGAGATCACAGTATAACAACCTGATTAGGGTGCAAAACTACAGTGTTCACAGCTGCCCGACTTTCATATTCCCTCTGACAACCTGGTGCCCTATTCATTCAACAGATTCAAAGATATGTTGACTTAGAGGAAAGATAAGAAGTTGGAAAGATCAGAAGACATCTGACTTGATATCTACAATACCTCAGATCCCAAATCTTTACAGTGCCATCTTCAGATCCAGAATACATCCAATTTCCATCACATTGAAATCCTACCGCCATCACATTGTTAGTGTGTGAATCAAAGCTCTTCAGCTGCCAAAAAGTATGACAAATAGTTTTTAAAAACTCAAATGGATACAAACTAGATATATCAAAGCGACAGCAGAGCAAAGCACCAGGTAACAAAAGAAAGGGAACTAAAAAAAGAAATACATAAAGAAGGAAAATCTAAAGACCTACCGGCTGAGGACTGTTAGAGTTGATGTCAAATAATCGAATGTGAGGATTTCCAGCAGCAGCAAGGAAGCGTTTATCCGGAGTAATTTCGAGACGATTCACTTGCTGTATACAGTTCAAGAAAGGGAAATGAAGTAAAGGTAGATGTATCACATAACTGCCCCAATAAAATAAGTTGATCCAAAATGCATATATTATTTCCATACATTTTGACTGTCTGTCACACCTTGCCTGCCAATACAATTTGTTCGGACAGATGAACAGGATCTCAACTTGGTGAAAAATGAGTCAAATACTTGACAAAATGCAGACAACAATGCCACTCAAAAGTGCCCCATGGAGTTTGATCGACCGGTAAGAGCGCAACTTGTGATGCGCGGGTTAGGCGCACGTCACAGTCGCGAACAAAAGCCTGGTATTTAAGTGGAGATAGGTAGAGGGGCGGGCTCATTATCTGCTAAGTTTCGAATCATGCATCAGCGGCCCTCGGGCTCGGTTATTAAAAAGAGAAAAAAAGTAATGCGACGCAAAAGTGAAGCTTGAGTCTATTTCCAATTTGCAGGCTTGGCATCAAATTTATCCCGTGATGACATAAGTCACATAGATGTGTTGAAACTGATTTTACAATTATATAAGTTACATATGCAAGAATGCAGTTAGGCAGAAACACTGCATATAAAAGCCTGTTCATTAGTAATTTCATTCTCCCACTGAAAGGCGGAGGTTCTAATCTCAGCATTATGCCATCTACTTTAACCATATAACAGTCCTAATGCTACTATTTTAACAAAAGCTCTTAATACATACATATCTCAAATCTAACAAGTATCAACTTGACCAAGCATAAGCTCTTAATTTACAAGATTCTTAGTTCATATATTCATTAAAGGTAATTGTTTTACAGAAAAAAGTTCTAATACAGAGAAATGGAATAAAGAATTGAACTTACAGATTCAGGGTATTGGATAGTGCGATAGCAGCGGGCACTTTTAGCCTCCCAAAACTTTATAGTGTGATCATAGCTAGCCGTTGCTAGCACCACCGATGGTTGTTGACTCATCTTTATTCCTCCTTCCTACCCAAATTCACACACAAAAAAAAAACTTTTAGAAATTGGTCAAAAAACTTGGCCTTTTATTTATTTATTTTGGTTAGATAATAATCGTACCAGAAAAGGTTGGAGTGAAATTAGATCATTGATTGATATACAGGACTAGGGTTTTAAGGGGTTTTGTGATAATTGCAGACAGAATAAGGAACCATGGTAGGGATGAGAAAACCATTTTTTTAACTGCGAAATGCTTCAGTAGTATAAATTCGATAGGAGAAATGCGTAGGTATTTGTCTTTTTTTTTCTTTTTTGACGAAATTCGTACGGATATTAGGGTGTGTTTGGTATAACGGAAAATGTTTTCTTGGAAAACAAGTGCTAATCTTATTTATTTTCTGATGTTTGGTACGCAAATTAAGGAAAATAACTTCTCAAGAGTATTCATAAATAATTTAGATACAATAAACATGAAGCCATAAACTTTCAAACTAACAACTATCCGAACCCATAAATTTCATACACTTTCGAACCGCTAAACATTCAAAACCGCGAACTTTCGAACTCATAAACTTTATAATTTCTAAACTAGTAAGCTTCCAAACACATAAACCTTCGAATTCATAACTTTGGAACTTGTAATATTTCGAACCTGTAAATCAAAAGATGAAAAAATTAAAACTTAAAATATATATAAAAAAATTCGGCAGGGGTAGTGGGTGGTGCAGAAAAATAAAAAAATAGAAATTTAAAAATTACAAAAAAAAGTTAAAAATTATTTTTGTGGAGCGGGCAGTGGGGGTGGGGTTTGGCGGGATGGGGGTGGGGTGCAGAAAAACGAAAAAACAAAAATTTAAAATTACAAAAAAATAAGTAAAAAAAATATTTTTTAGAAGGAGGTAGCAGAGTGGGTGAGTGTGGGGTGGTGAGGGTGGGAAAGGTTGAGAAGGAGTTTTAGAAAATATTTTCCCTTCTCTTGATAAGAAAAATATTTTTCTCCAATTGGAGGAAAATGAGTTTATAAGGAAAATGTTTTCCAATACCTTTAAGCCAACCAAATATGGGAAAATTGAAAACATTTTTCTGGAAGATAATTTCCTTCCTACCAAACACACCCTTATATATAAAGCTTTCGGTCCCTTCACTAGGATAAGTGGTACTTTAGTACCTTCAATAGACTATACTTACACTCCAGTCCCTAAACGTCAAATGAAGATACATAAAAAATGGTTCCTTTTAAGTTTGAAGCACAGTGACTGCAAATTATCATGGTTTGTACTCTTTAAGCTACTAGCTGTTTTGAGACAATTCTTTACGAAAGGAATATAATAATCTTAATCATAATAGTACTTGTATAAATTACTATTCATAGTTCTTATACGTCTCACTTAATTAATACTATACGAATTAAAAATGTAGAGGTAGATTTGAAAAAAAAAAAAAAAAGGAGTAAATAATAACTTAATATCATACTTGAGAGCGGTACGTGATAATTTATTTTGTATCTTAAAATACATCTTGGTATTAAATTCAAGATATTGAATATTGGAATTTTGCGTTATATAATTAAAGATGAGAAAGATCAATTGTGATAGTAATGGACCTTTTTGTTTATGACCTTTCAATGGGTCTCGATAATTTTAGTAAAAAGACGTGATACATTTTCAAAAAGGAACATCAAATGTTAGAAATGATAGAAAAATTGAAAGAAGAATGCTTCTGGATAAAAATTCGCATGTAAAATTTGCATATTGATCTTGTATTTGATCTGCAGGGGCTGGGCAAGTTTGCGCTTGTTTTGAGTATACAGTAGAATAAAAATTCCAAACCTGAAGATCAAGTAACAAGGAACATTTCATGCTAAAAGCTCATGCCAAGAACTCAGTCTTGTATCATAACTTTGTTGAACACTAAAATTTCAGACCTAAGACATCACACAACATGGATGCCATATAAGCAAACTAATGGTAGAATGCTATCCCATGTACACCAAATGCCCCAAAAACAGGCTAAAATCAAATAACATGTACAACATACTGAGGCGTTCGAATATCACATATAATGTTCATTAAACAATTAATCCGAGATGTTAGACGAACGATGCCATGTAGAGCACAGCATACAGTTGCCTTTGTAAGCATAAACTTTAATTCATACCAGGATCTTGAATATGATAATCTTACATGTAATTGCCATAGAAAACATACCTGAAGCGAAATCCATTATCTTGAAGCGGAAGCGTTAATTCAAAACTGGTTTCTCGTCCCTTGCCCTAACTTTATGTTACCGCCGCCTTTAGAGATGGAAGAGAGAATAAAAATAGGTAACCCTAATGGGTGGGGAGAGGACCAATTTATAGAGGTTCTCACTTAATCCGGTACGTCCATCAAGTAACCGATCGGACGGATGAGATTTGCTCATTAATTAAATATTAATTATGGGCCTAATCTTATTGGGCCACATACACGTAAGAAAATAGTTTACATTCTCCCACTTGGCCCAATAATCACATAATATTAATATTTAATATAGGAACATTAGTTGCGCATAAACAAATCTCTTCTATAATGTCCATCATAAATACCACAATACGATAAACTAGTAAATGTGAGTTATGGCGGTTATACATAATTTGTCTACATACTCCCTTCCATATACTACAACATTAGTAATTTATCATCAGGTTCATAAGCTATAAAATATTATGGTCCACAATAATGTCTCCTTGAAACTTATCCTGTAATATCTCAAAACAATAATGTGTACACCATTATGAGAAACAGGAAATCATTAATGTATATCAGAAACATATAAATGAGCTCAGAGTGTCAAAACATCATAAATACATCAATCATAAGTACAGCCAAGACCCATTCTATGTACATGTTCTTTAAATATCTTTGGCTGTAAACCTTTCGTTAACGGATCTGCAATCATGAGATCAGTTCTAATATGCTCAAGTGACACTCTTTGTTTCTGAACTTCCTCCTTGACGGTAAAGTACTTCAATTCCATGTGTTTGGCACTTTAGAGTACTTATCGTTCTTGGAGAAGAATACTGCTGCAGAATTATCACAGTAAATTTTCA